GGAAGGAAGGAAGGAAGAAAGAAAGAAAGAAAGAAAGAAAGAAAGAAAGAAAGAAAGAAAGAAAGAAAGAAAGAAAGAAAGAAAGAAAGAAAGAAACCAAAAAAATAGCTTCTCAGAATAGATATGGCCATCCCAACATGCTTACTTTCCAATAATTCTCTTCTTCCCTGGGAGCCATCCTCGACCCTCAGACCTGCCCTTCCTCCTGCTCTATACACAGGAAAACATTCGGGCCTTCCTGGGTAAAAATGACAGCGACGTCATTCTAGAAGAGTCCCACCAGCCTGGGCTTGCTTGGTCGGGTAGCAGATGCTCTACCTAACAGTTTCCATGGAAACCAATAGACAAGCTCCACCTTTTCTGTGATCAGAAGTTGAGCCTACCCAGATAAAAATAAGGACTGACGCCGTGTGTGTATAAACTGCAGTGGAAATCCCCAGCACTCAGAAGGCAGAGGTGGGTGGATCTCTGTGAGTTCGAGGCCAGCCTGGTCTACAACGCAAGTTCCAGGACAGCCAGGACAGGAAAACCCTGTCTCAAAAAATCAAAATAAATAAATAAATAAATAGCAACAACAAAAATAATCTGCAGTGGACAGACCAGAGTGTTGCTACCAACCCCTACCCCACATATGAACACACACACACACACACACACACACACACACACACACACACACACATCTCAGGGCAGTTAGTCTGGGATTTTTCAAAATGATTCCTAGACCTAAACGGCCTCGAGCAAATCCCTGGCTAGCTGCAGAGCACTCAAATTGGCTACAGTCTCTGGTCCTTGCTGAAGCTCCTGGCCACACTCTTTGCTTGGGGCTGGTTTGTCCTTCCTTTCCCTCTGGGAGCCCAGCTCACTACCATCAACTAGTTAGCTCAGTGTCTTAGGTAGGGTTTCTATTGCTGTGAGGAGACACCCTGACCATAGCAACTCTTACAAAGAAAAACATTTCATTAGGGCTGGCTTACAGTTCAGAGGTTTAGTCCATCATCATCTTGGCGAGAAGCATGGCGGCATGCAGGAAGACATGGTGCTGGAGAGGTAGCTGAGAGTTCTACGTCTGGATCCAAGAGCAGCAGGAAGAGACAGTGAGCCACTAGGCCTGGCATGAGCTTCTGAAACCTCAAAGCCCACCCCCTAGTGACACACTTCCTCCAACAAGGCCACACCTCCAATAATGCCTCTCCCTGTGAGTCTAGGGGGCCATTTTCATTCAAACTACCACACCCAGCTAACTACTGGCCATTCATCACAGTTCTCCCATAAGCCTGCAGGACAGTCTGAGGCTGGGGACATAGGAGCAATGTCTGTGCTGGGGTCAACCTCCTGCTTGTCCAGCAGAAGGCAGTTTGTGGGTCCTAGGATTTGGCTTCAGCTGGTTGTCTTTTGTCTGTCTGGTTCAAGGCAGGTTTGTTGACTGGCTGCCGTGGTACAGAGCACGGAACTCAGGTGCTCCCTGCCGACCTGTGCTCCCAGTCACTTGGCTCTGGTCTTCAGTAAGGCTCTTCCTTTTGCTCCCCATTTATACCTGTGAGAAATTATCCAGACAGTTCCACTGCCCATCAGGAGGCCTCAGTATTCTTCCACAGCCCTGGCTGGGGTGTGGTCCTCTCCCACCAGGGACCAGCAAAGAAACCTGGAAAGGCCAGAGTTCACAACGTCCCTATGACCACACCCAACTGCTGTCTTGTGTTTGTCCCTGGTGTCTGAGTCACACTGGTGTCTGAGTCACTGTTCTTCCAGGAGGGAGGGGGGTTCCCAAGCAGCTTCTGTCATGGTAAGAGGACCTCCCTGCCAGGAGTTAAGACCTGGCCATGGAGCAGTGGAGGAACTGTGCTCTCCTGGCCAGCAGCTGCTGGTAGAGTAGCCAGTAAACACACACACACACACACACTACCTGCTCTATACCAGGCCCTTTTGCTAAGGAGGTGTGAGTCAGTGAGACACTTTATCCTTCTGAAAATGATGCTTCCTGACAGCTTCTGGTTCCATCCTGACTGGTGACTGACCACTTTGGGCTTGGGCTGGGTGGGTCTAGGGGAAGCCAGGCTGGGTTAAGTGGTCACCTTGCTGGGTGACCTGGGCGTCTTCTGCTGTGTACACAGCGTAGTGATGGCTCAGACCAGTCCATTCCCACAGAAGGGTCTGGAAGAAAGCTACAGAGGCCAGACCTGAACTAGTGATCTTTTCTCCAGGGCTGGATTGTTTGTGTGGCTAGTTTTGTTTTGTTTGTTTGTTTGTTTTGTTTTTTCTCTTTTCCTTTAAGGAGGCCTGGGAGACTCCGTGGCCCTGGGTGGAGAGAACGGAGGTGAATAATCCAGAAGCCCAAGAAACACTTGTCTTCTCCTTGCTCTCTGGGTCTCTCCTACCCCCTCTAATCATCCTGAAACCAAGCCCACCTTGTGGCTGTTGTCTTTCAATAAAGGCCTTGTGAGGACCACCCGCTCAGAGTCCCTTGAGGTTCTAGTAAATGGGTGTGGTCCTGGTTCTGCCTTAGACCAGCGGTCCAGATTCCTCTCTATCAGAGGCGTCTATGGAAGCCTTCTGTCCTCTGCAGTGGGAGGGAGAGCACAGGGTTAGTATATTTGCTGAGGTTTTGTTTTTGTGTTTTTGTTTGAGACAAGAGTAGTCTCACTATGTAGCCCTCACTGTTCTGGAACTTGCTGTGTAGACCAGGCTAGTCTTGAACTCACAGAGATCCGCCTGCCTCTTCCTCCAAGTGCTGGCATTAAAGGTGTGCGCCACCACTGCCAGGCTGCCTCGGCAAGATGCTGATGCCTGCTTTTCTGGTTTGGTTTGATTTGGGTTTTTGTTTGTTTGGGTAAGGTCTCATATAGCGTAAGCTGACCTCAACTGGCCGTGTAGCCAAGGGT